TGCTCCTCAGGTATGGCTGCTATTTTGCTGTCATTCCTGAGTACCTAAAGCTGAAAATATCTCATCTTTATTTTTAAAGCATTTTAAGGTTACCATAAGATTACGAAGCTTACTTTTGTTATTGCATTTTGATATTGCTCATGCCAAGAAATACAATTCTTGCTTAGGTATAATTTGTCTGGCTAACTTTAAATGCATTCTAAACTAGCAGAGACGTCAAATGGACTCACGTGACTCATTAGTCATTTCACGCAGTGTCATTGTTTTGCTACTCCTCGTCATGTAATAGCTCACAATGAGCCACTCAGGTCGACACCAAGGCTTCTCGTACCCGACCCCTGCGGTCGTCACATGAGAGGGCCCGGCCTTGGGACGGCTCCTCACAAAGGTACGGCGGTGCCGGAAACGCCCACCGAGCCGTGACACTGTCGCCAAATAGCCGTGAGTGTCGCGAATTACGGCGCGTGTATGGACGGTGGAGGACACGCCGAGTGTAAAGGCACTGGACCTCGCATGCGGGTTGCGAGTTTTTTTAGTTTTCGGGTTTCTTTTAAAAGTAAAGAATACACTCTATGCTGACCATTAATGAGTGACCCACACCACCATGTAACAAGCGAGTCTGCATGTTTTTAGCATGCGAGCCAACTTGCATCGCATTCCAAAAATTGATTTTGAGCTAAAGTTCGATTATCCTCGCTGCAAGGGCTGCGAGTTTTTGTGTGTTTTGTTGAAGTCGAATTTCGGTTCTTTGTGCTGTTATTGCGATAATATGCAATTTTCTGAGTGTGTACTGGCCTCACTGCATTCATGTAGTGACCATAAGAGAGTGGTTTAATCACTCCATGATTGAGCATTATGCCCGCGAATCCAAAACCCGCAGAGTCGCAACCCGCATGCGAGGTCCAATGTGGGGCGGCCTTACGACAGTGGACAAAGTACAGAGTGTGGACTGAGTGTGTAGACTGTATAGCTGGAGAAAGGATACATCCCCCTAAAGTTTAATCCGATCCCCACCCTCTCTCTCTCTCTCTCTCTCTCTCTCTCTCTCTCTCTCTCTCTCTCTCTCTCTCTCTCTCTCTCTCTCTCTCTCTCTATCTCTCTCTCTCCTTATACCTCCCCTTCTCTCCCTCTCTATCTCTCTCTCCCTCCCTCCACCCACCCATCCCACGGCACCTGCACTATCTCCACAGTCGCACCTGGCACCTGGCACCGACACTGACCGCCGCTGATTCGGTCACAGTGCATCTCTCGCCCCGCTTCTTCGGATAACGGACCGGTCCCCTAACGACCTGCTCTTCCGCAATTTACGAGAGCTGCCCGCTGCCGACCCATCCCCATGCTCTCTGGCAGATCATAGGACCGGGTGCTACTCACTGGGGTGCACCTATAGGAACGACGGCGGCGATGATGCCGATGGTGTTGTTGTTGTAGTTGCCAGTTGGTAGTGGTGGTGGTAGTGGTGACGTCACGGTAGACGATGACGTCTGCCGGGGTAGACGGTAGACGATGGCAGACGGTAGGCGGTAGACGGTAGCTTATGGTGGTGTTTGCTGCTGTTGACGCGAGAAGACGGTATACACGACAAACGTTAGACATTAGGTGCTGGTGGTGGTGGACTGGTGGGAGATTGGTTGACGACGGAGACTGTGCCCTGTTGCGTAGCATCATGTCTCGTGGCGTCCTGTCACGTGCTCGGCAGTTGCAGTTCCTGAAGGGGGAAGGACAGCCTGTTGTCGCCACGTGTGACGGAGTTATGGGAAGGACGAGGCTGTTGCTGCATAGAATGGGACGGAAGTGCAGCGTCTCGCAGTTGGCCCATTGTGCGCTGCTTGTTTGGCCGCTGTTGTTGGTCCGCTGGTGTTAGCTTACGAAAACGACCACACACACCTCGAGGACTCTACGCGCAAGGCCGACAGGGATGCGTTCGTTGCATGGAATACTTATATGAAAACCCAGTTCCAGGAACAACATATACGAGTATGGGAAATGGTACTGATGCTACTCCACACTCGCACGACTCCCAAGTGGAATCATATATGAACGAGCGCGGTGTCAAAGGGGTTACAGAATCGGCAAGGGCAGCACTTACGGCAAGGTCTCAGATCTCATCTCTTTAGAAGTCTCACAAGGTCCTCACGATGTTACATGTCGTGAGTTAATTAACATGCCGGCTGCATCAAGAAACTCAATTTCGATATTAGGCGGCTGGTTTTAATGCGCTGACGGTAACACTGAACGACTACCGCAAACCGTACTTCGGCACATACGTGCATTGCATTGATGCACCTCACTCTAATGGCTTATCTCTCGATCATCCTTGTGATAAGCCTCATCGTGTTACCCGCCGGCGAGGCTGAAGAACCAGTAGCCCCTAAGCTCGGCAACCGCTAAGCTCGGTAACCCACAGCCGCATTGCCATAGGCTCGTCACACTGGCAGCCTTCCGACACGTCTGTCGGTGACCTTGTGCGCTAACGTATGGTGATGGGATGTCAGTTGGTATCGGTCGTGCAGGTGACAGGACCCGCACGATCCCTGTGGGGATGGTCGTGCCGGTGACGCCCGCGCGCGGCGGAGATCGGGTGATCGAGATGGGATCCTGGGATGTCACGCGCCCGCTCTCTTCAAACCCAGCTGGAGTTGAAAGGCGGTACAACTGTACAGGTGGCATGAGCCAATGGTTTGGTGCCCACCTCATTTGTTTCAATGGATTGCTATAGGGGTAATGAACAAATCGGGTCTTTAAGTGATCATGGGTCTAAGGGGTGGCCGTGACCGCATGATTTCACGCCTGCGGTCGTCAGTGCTCAGTGGGCAGGTCGTCCGTCGCATTACTATTTCATCCTTTAGGCAACACGGATAATGACTGGCACCACCTCTTTACTTCACAGTAAATAACATTTTGTCTGTTGATAGTGGCGTTTTGGTCAGCAACTGACCCCGAGAATGGACGGTGGACACTTCTTTTCTATGAAGTGATAATTCATGGCGGCAAACGGGCTCATTTAGCTCCTATAAGATCGTGATGATATAATATAGGTACATTTGTTTCATTCATCCATTGTTTCTTTTGACTCCATGTGTAGCTTCCCATTTTTGTCAGTCTGATGCATTTTCACATCAGGGAAAACTACATGGCATTACAGTATCACCCGCTGCCTTTTGATATGTCAATGCCAAATCAGTCCAATTTATCTCCTATCGAACAGACCGGGGTCACATAAGAACCAGGGACAGGCGCACTCAGAGCAGGAAGAGCACATGACGGTGCCGGGTCTATATATTCTGTCTGCGGCCCAGTTCTTGCTGAGACACCGCAAGGGCATTGCTTCATTTCGGGGACAGAGCAGGCTACAATTGCACGCGACTATGACTAATAGCTGCAAAAACTCGGGCAGACTTGCTGTGCAGGAATGCAAGGAAACAGGAAGAACGAGTGATCCAAGAGTGATCTTGAATGCGTGGAGCATTGTGGTTTACGTACATGGAGAATACAAAGTGAAGCGGATTTCCTTTTTAGAAATGAAGACAAGGTCCATTTCACGTTATTTCCTCATTGCCGTGTGCACTGATGTTCTTTCATGCAGCACAAAGACAATGCTGGAAGTAATTTTACGATTGAGCTATTCTTGAGCCGTATAATGTGCATAACATGGGCAACAGAATAAAAAACTCTCCAGATAATAGGCATGTTCCAAAGTTTTAGACATGAATCATTGCTCAGCACGTGGCGATAGCAAGGTCACTTATATATGGCAAAGCCAAATATATACTAGTACACATAGATATTTGGCTGCTCGAATATCGTTTCAAAAAAGTCAGACAAAATGCCTGCATTTTTAGGAGAAGGGTCCATTGGTCAATAACGACTTTCGATTGAGCTAATAAAAAAAACAAAGTCCTATAGCCTGTCCGTGGCCGAGTGGATAAAAGCGCCGGAATTCGACGCTTAGCCGGAAGTGAGAGCCCGGTTCAAGCCCCGGTGCGGGCGGCCACATTTAGCTCCTACGTGTAATGGCGTGCGTGTCTGTGGCAGGGGCCGCACAGAAGCCAGGTAACGTGAGTGAGCGGAGGGGACCGTGTCCAGTCGCGAGGGCACGTTAAACGTTCGGACAAAATTCTGCCATACAACTGGAATTGCGCGATCGGGTGGTGGGGTCAGGGTCAGCACAACAAGCTATGCTTAGTGCGGGCTCTGATTCCTCAAATCCGCCCATTCAGCCATTCGGACTAAATTTATAAAAAAAAAAATAGCTTAGTTTGCTGCAAAAAAAGATAAAATGTGGATCTGCAATAGGAATACGATTGGGCAGCTGCCGTGACAGCGCTTCCAGCAAGCGTCATCAGCTACCATCACCAACTACCACTACCGCCGCCACCGTCATCGCCGCTGCCGCAGAAGAAGGGAGGATCGGGCGGCATCAGTGGCCCTCAATCCGATGACAGGCCGACGGAACGGAGGACGTAGCCAGATGATTTGCTGGACTCATTGGCTCAGGTCAGTTCCGGCAGACTGACAGGTGACTGATCGTCAGTTATTCGGTATTCGGCCAGTGGCTCAGTGAACGGTTTGAGCTAGCCTAGAACCATGGATGATAGAACCGAGGACTGGTGGCGACGAATACCTACTGGTAATGGAGTGGTGTGACAGATTACCAAACTTCCGAGGGCTTTCGCTTTTATCGAGCATCATTGATATGTCTCAGGTATGCTCCTTTTGAGCATATTGAGCTGGTGGTGTTTGGTGCATAACAAAAATTGAATTGATGCTTAGCTCAATTAACATATATTTTGAGATGTGTCATCCTATATTGATGAAGATAAATTTCAAGCTTATTGGCAAAAAAAAATAATCAATGAGTTTGCTTCCGCGCTGAATGACAATGCCAACGTTCCCACCCGCAGTCATATGGTCCGCCCTCCCCTCCCCCCTGGACCCTCACCCTCTGTCACAGTTTGAGAGCCCCGCTGTCGGGCTCACCTGAGCGAACTGGTTGTCAGGTGCGCACAGGTGTGGACCAACCAGCGGCACCGTACCACCATCCCAACCAATCAGCGCCGGCGTAACAGCGGCGCGGCGACCATTCGGAGAAAGGCTGCGGGCCCGGCGCGGCGGCTGCGGGGACGCCGGACGGCCGGCGACGGGCGGCCGGCAGTTGAGGCCCGCTTTTGTCGAGGTTCGCGGCGGCAGGTGTTCGCCAGTGACTGGAGGGGACTGTGCGTGTCCGTGGCGTTTCGTGGCGCCTGCAGTGCGGCGACCATGAGTGGCAGACGGGATGTCGCCGGCCTCTCGCTACGACAGCTGTAACGGGCCCAGACAGAGCCCGGAGCGAGCACCAGCCGGCGAGGCCCCGAGCGTGAGCCTGACCAGGTGAGTGAGTCACTGACCCCCGAGTCCCTCCCTCCCTCCCTTCCCGGCGTCCCCTGCCGCCGCGGCCGGCTGCGGGCCGCCGTCCAGGCTGGGGTAGCCGGAGAGGGCCCGATCGCCGCAGCCGGAGCCGGAGCTGCTGACCCGGGCCGACCACACGGGAATGGGGTCACCGTCAGCCGCCCGCGGGCATCCCGGCTCGCGTCGTGGCATTCCGATCTCTCGCCGGAGCGAGACAAGCGGTCCGAACGAGCCGCGCGATCAGACGCCGTTAGAAGATAGAAACTGGTGCTGAGGGAATAGAGGTGCTGTATAGGCGAATGGTTTGTCATATTGGCATGGATTCCTGGATATTGGAAGCTTTCCAGAGCATTTCTAGGTGATCGCTCAGGGCAGATAGTGCCTGTTACCAGTGTGCAACTCGATCATGCTGCTGAACATCTTTTTTGATTTGTGTAACCTGTCGTAAGCTTTTCAATTAGGGAAAAATGCCTCACCCTCCCCTTGCATTATCGATAGAATCAAGTTTGGTGTAAAGATGTGGGGACTTCATCGCAGCTTGGCGAGCACAAGTGACTAGCACCAATCTTTTCATGGCGCTAAAGCTAAGACCATTCTTACTACGCACAACGGTCTGTTGTTTCTTACGCTTTTGTTGTGATAAACTATGGCATCAGAGCGCATAGTTATCACCACATAAGGGATTTTTCTTCTGTTTTGCTCAGCTCTTAACCGGCGGAAGTCAAAGGGAGTAATAAAAAAATATCCATAAGCCTTGGTTTACTTCAACACGGGCACAATACCCTACAGCAGTTGTTTCATGGATGTTCTAATGCTTATTGGAGTAAAGTGACAGCATCGTTTCTTATATTCGTCAAGATGTCTGGCATTTGTTATCCTTAGCAATGCTGCTTCGACGCAGCACATTGTTTTCACCATGTGTAACATTGGGCCTCAATAGTTCAAAACTGCTTTGACGGCATAGCAGGCGACTGCTCTTATCGGGGCGTAAGTTTTATCTTCTGAAATGGAGGGAAAGGGAACATATTGAAAGACTGTCTGATTTTTCCACTGACGTTTCCTTCTGCTGCCATGCAGCGCACTTTTCTCGCTCCATTTAGCAGCGAATACTCGAGAGTCTATTTCGGAACTCCGACTGTCTGTCAGCTCCAGTTCGCGGAGAGGTCCTCACACCTGCCAACTGCAGTCCTCTGAGAACTTTATCGCCCGTGTTACATTGGCCATTTTTCAGTTGGCTGAACCAAACTATTAGAGGTTCTACCATAAGCGTCACAAGGCTTTGTCGCCTTCCACTTACGTTATTGCCCAAGACATTTACAGAAGATGGATATTGTGTTGTCTGCAAGAGGCAATAGACGTTCATATCAACCTAACGAGGCGAATAAGTGCAACTTGAGAGGGACGAACGCTTAGATCCGATGTGTTTTTCTTGGACGCTCATATCGAGACTCGAGTGGCATGCCTTCTGCGTATGTCGCTATTTGTCCGTTACAGTTGCATGTCCTAGAGCCCGGGTTATGTTCTTTGCTCAACGGAGCATGACTCAATAACGCACAGGCTTGTTGCCGAATTTGGCTAGAAAGGTCTTCAAAGTCTAGTTTTCTTTGATGAATTGCGACATAAAAAAACATCTGAGAGGCGGGTAATAGATGGCTAAGAATAGAAGAATACAGGTTTGGCGCAGTTTTTGCTTGTGAGACATATGCACTCTAGTGGAAATAACACACATTTTATAGAATTCTTACACGAGGTCTTGGCAGTTAAAATACGCAAATCTGACGAGAAATCGGCTGTCACTGCCACACAATTGTAAGCTAGGATAGTCGGCTAATCGACCACACGGAAAGCGTACTCTAAAATAGCATGAATTATTTTGTATTCCATCAAATTAAACTTGAATGAAATGATTGTAGCTATCTCGTAACGATTGTTTTCACATGTTACAAACATGAAACAAATTTACACCCATAAAGGGCTTTACAGAATAATGGATTTTAAAAGTACGCACTACGCACATGCATGTAGCGTTTATGCTTTTGCCAACGTTCTCAAGGTAAAAGCCAGACCTGCAGCATATACGATTCGACACGCTAGAAGGCACACAGTGTAGGACATGAATACCAATGTTGCGGTATCATCCGCCGACAGTATGCCGTCTTACCTGCAAAACGATCATGTCCGGACCAGGGCCGCCGCCTTGTTTGGATCTGTCCCTGAGAAATAATTGGACCGACGGTTATCTACTTATCCATGGCCTCGAAAAGAGCATCGCACATTGACAGGGCTGTCCGGCCACAGTCGACAGATGTAGACAGATGTCTGCTTCGCCTCGTCTTCCTGTGACGAAATGATAAGTTCAAATGCTGCTGAAAAGGCTATCGTCAGTCGTCACAGTTTTTGCTGAAAGCCGCACACATTCAGTGACCTTATTTCTAGCGCCGTGAAGAATACCTTTGCTAAAAGGTTTGGTACCATTTTCAGGTCGACATCTTGGTACAACAATGGCTATGTTGCAAGAACCGCGATTATACAGCCATTATAACACTGAACGAGTGAGATGACACGTATTCCCCTCCCTATTTCATGACCCAGAAGATAACAATCGCTGATCCTGCACCAACCAATAAACTCAATCCCAGTCGAGTCGCGCTGCTGGTCCTTATCGTTATCGTAAAACCCACTGAGGCCGATGCTGCTCTCCTTGAGTCGCCTCCTCTCATCAGCTCGTGCCGCTGATGGCCGCTATAACCCACTCCGTAAGACGGCCTCCGTACGACGGCCTCCGTACGACGGCCCTCGTCAGACGGCCCCAGTCCGCCCGCTCTGCAGTCATGGCAGGCGGCACCGGCCGGCTGACCCGCTCCAGAGCCACTTCCTGATTCTGTGAACTCCCTTACGATCGTGTCTCGGTCCGGCTAACTTGCCGTAATTACCGGTATAGGAGCTTCAGTGCGGTGTGCCGTCGGGTTTCTGCCGCCGGCTATTCTCTGCAGATGGAAGCAGGAGTAGATACTGAGGCATTGCCCAGAAGAACTGGCGTCGGTGCGTCTGTGACACCTGCTTACTGTGACGGATGCAGGATGTGAAGCTGTCAGCTATCTAGGCCATTTGGCAGGCTTACCGGCGCTGCAGCGTTTGTGCGCTGTACCTGGCGCGGACGACCGGACAACGGTGCCTTGTATTTGCACTCTATGGTTTTGGCCCGAAACAATGGAGGCCTGAATCACTCGTTAGCTGTGCCCGCCCACGCGCTGCCAGTTGATAAAACTGGCGGTAAAGTCGCATGGCGCATCTTCTTACACATGGCATGCCTACGGTGAAAGACATTCCTTGCAAGTGTCCCAGTCTTTGATAGCAGATATCACACCGGACATTGCATCAAAGTCTGAACGCCCGTAAATAGTGGTGAACCACTGGCCAGTTAGCGGGTGTGTTTGTAACCTGCTCAAGATTCCGTCCCTGTAACTTTTTCAGCCCACTGCCAGGAGTGCAGGTGTGCTTCATCTCATTCTCAACAGATTGTATTCATTAGGAACGTCAGATACCATAACAATTGGTGAATTATTGTCACAATGTCGACTATTTTGTTTTTGGCTTTCTTTCCCTGGAAATAACCAATGATTTGGACGGTGCTTTGAACGCTGGTAATCCACAAACCACAGAAAATGAATTGTGTAGGCAAGAAAACATAACCTAACTCTCACTGGTATGTGGTGAACGGTGGTATTTAGGAGAGAACAGGGTCCGTTAGATAAATGGCCCGATCGTGGCTGAAATTTCACTAATCAATGATAATTACCATTTCCAGCTGGTCTTAACCACTGGCGAAATCGAAATGTGAGGCAGATGCACTGCGATTTCCGACGCCATGGTATGACAGATGGTGATTGATTTTCTCGTCTTTTTCCCTCTGTCTGACAGGCATATCAATCGGGATGAGCTATGCAGCCTCTATTCACAAATGTGCATTGTGAATTCACATTCACAAAGGGTTTGTGACGCAAAATGTTGTCGCTCCCTTCCGTAATAAGATTTTCCAGCTCGGAACATTCCCCTCGGCTTCGAACAAACGGTTGCTTGATGTTCGCATGTTTCGAAGACTTCAAGCTCCCAGTAATGTACGATATGGATTTTCACAGTGATCTGTGTGTTTGCCCAGGTGGTGCGAGAAATGGGTGAGTTTAATCAGAGCTCGTCATTGTCCTGGGTGATCCGATTTTCCTCGCCTGTCACAATTGACGAATCGACAAGGACTGAGTCTTTTAATTCGACCTGTCGGACTTTCCCGTCTTTGACTGATGCCATTTCTGTCCAACGCTGAGGCTCCAAGGACCAAAACATCGATTCAGAAGAAATGTGGGTTATTGATTGGTTTACTAATTTAATTCCACGAGCTGTATTTGCCTATGGCTTGTCGTGCGTTGTTAGGTTGCAATGAACTGTATTATTCATCGACTTGCCCAATTATTCATGCATCTATGAGTGAGATCACTACAATTACACGCCATAAGAAAACCGCTATAAGCTCTGTTCGTGGTACTGCATTACCATTTTCCGAATATAGCTGGCAGTCAGCTGGACGCTGGAATCGGAGTCTGGACCGGGACGGGGTCGGTTTGAACCCCGGAGACCACGCCACTTCATCATGCTAACGGATCGTTCTGGCTTCTAATGAGGGGTTGACGTAGCCAATCGTCACGATCCGAGACCCCTACCTTGACATCACAACGGGAAGCGCTAAAATACTGCGCCGAATGCCGCTAATGGTCTCGGAATGGGGCGATTTCGGTCAGTTGCGTCCATGATCAACACAGCTGGGGCGTGAGCTGATTCAGTGGTCGTGTGTGCTGACCTCCAGCACGCGGTGGACAGGGGCCTGTCGTGACCGGGGGTGGACCGCGCCGACCGGCCGACAGTAGAGTGACCGTGACTCGCAGCACTGAGCGGCGACCCGGCCGGCGCAGGGCACAGAGCACACCGCT